TATGCTACAGTAAAAAATGTAGATGGGGCTAATACAGAGCCCAAATTTGATATAGTTAGGCACCTTGATCTAGCTGGATATCTAAGAAATATTCGTTCAAAGAATAGTGCGCTCTGTGTCTTAATAGAGCTTTGAGTTTATATCTGAATACATAATGGCATTGGCAAGGTTGCTGCTCCATTCCTGATCCCAGAGTGACCGTTGTCTGCACCACTCAAGGCGATTACGTCGGTGTTCTCGAGTTAAAGGGAAGACCCAGTGTGGCCGGTATGAAAACAAGCCAAAACTTCTCATTCGTCGGTAAACACTTCGCATGCCAATAGGTCTTCCGTGTTCTGCAAACCATTCATTTGCAATGGACCTGGTAGTGGAGAAACGGTCCCTTAAGGCCAATAATCTTAGGCGGCGATCTTCACGGTCTGTTGTTCTACGGCGGCGTCCAGTGCCCCTTGCTTTTTGCGTACGGCCTTCTCGAAGCCATGCCTGACAACACCTAACCACAGTGTCTACACTTCTTTGCACTCTAACTGCAATTGCCCTAAAAGAAAGTCCAGCTTCCCGAAGTCCCACTATACGGCCCCTATCAAACTCACTAAGTTGACGAAATCGTACAGGTCTCCGTACTCTAGGCATCGTAACTGATCGTAAAGGATGTCAAGAACCAAAATCCGCCAACGTTGATTCTTTACTGCGGCTGAAATATTCATTTTTAGAGCGTTAGTGAATTAAAAAAAGCAGTATAAAAATCGGAAGGCCCAACTGATAAGGCTAAAAATTTTTTCACTTGTTATTTACAGTAAGATAAATATAAAAATAAAACCATTTAAACTGGGTGTTCGGATTTATATGTCACTTAGTATATCTGTCCAAGGTATCTATTTGTCCTGTCGTTGACCTATCGTTTACTATTGCAGAGCGTTAGTAGTATGTTGTTGCAACTAGCTTCTGACATCTACGATATGTGTATTCTAAATATTTACTTCGACGAGGACGGAACATAATTACATGATCAACTAACCTGTAAGTGATGTTCGATCTTAATTTTGTGAAGTCCTCGTCGAAGTGAATAGCTCCCTCGCTCCCTATGTATCACCCAATTGTTGCAACAACTTGGCTTTGAAGTCAATGAAGGTTTATAGGCGGCCAGAGGGGAGAAAGGTAGGGGGACGGGGCGCGGTACTGCTTTGCTTCTCTGCGTGCGCGCTTTGAAATCGTGGCGGTTGGGTACTACTACGAGGGTACTACGATATGTATTATAAATATTTACTTCGACGAGGACTTCACATAATTAAGATCGAACATCACTTACAAGTAAGTTAGTTTGATCATGTGATTTTATAAGAAAATGGATGAATGAAATAAATGTCTTCATTATAGATCAATTTAATATCTGGCAAAATCTCAATAATACTTTGATGATGCCGAGAGGCAGCATAGTTTCCGGCACCAGCGATCCACAAAAAACCTCCTGTCAACGCGGGTGTTCCCCGGGGAGCGTTCTTGGCTCTAACATTGTTCCTCTGAGATATCAAAAATCTCCTTTCCTTTACGGCCAATCCAATCCTCAGTTGTGCAGGTTTTCTGGTTCTTGAACCACTTCGCGTTACGGCAAAAATTCCACGAGTGATCATACTGTCTGACAAAAGTACACCCTGTCGCTATAAACGACGTGTCGTTGGCCGGGGATGGCACCACTAACAGCGTGATCTAATGTGCACCCTTCTTCAAATTAATTTCAACTGAATACACTCTCTGTTGGAATCCCGAGGCCGTCAAAACAATCGATGATGAGAGCTATAGTAGCATGCCATGGCGCTCTTGATGGTTTATTCTATCAAATGGGAATCGTGCTCTTGGGTTACGGTGGAGATTGGAAGTGGTGCGATAGAGTTAGCTTGTTTGTCCACTGTCAAGTGGTTGTAGGCAGAGAAAAAGGTGATTCCTCCCTACAGTTTTAGCGACAGTGAAGTTTGGATAATCATGAGCTATACAGATCTTTCTGAAGCTTTTGACAGGATAGATCATGGAATTTTACTTAGCAAAATATCCAATTTTGGATTTGATAATTTAATGGTTAAGTTCTCATATCTTGAAAATAGGTCACAATTTGTTTTTCATAATGGCTTTGTCCCTCAAGAATATATAGCAGCTTCAGGTGTACCGCAAGGTTCCAGCTTAGATCTCCTTCTATTTTTACTGTACATAAACGATCTGTCTTGCATCTTGTATTGTTTGAATTTATTATACGCTGATGATCTGAAAATCTTCATAACAATAAATTAATGACATATCAGATTGCCATATTCTACAAGGGAGCCTTGATTGTATCCATGAGTGGTTTCTACCTAACAAATTCTAACATTTAAAAAAAGGCAGATAACGATCTCTCAAGAGTTGACCAAATTAAGGATCTAGGTATATGGTTCGATCAAAAACTAGCCTTTAACTGTCATATCAGCCTGCACTCAAATTCTGTGAATCTATTGTCAGAAACTGTAAAGCTTTCGGTCATGTTTTGAAAAAGTTATATTGTATCTACGAACCCCTTCCCACTTCAGTTGGCCCAACTATTGAAATCTTAGTTTTTTTCTTGTCAAACACAAATAATAAAAATGTAGCAGGGTGTTACAGGTTTAAAATATCAACAATGATTATTTTGATAATATATAGTAGAAAAAACCAACTTTATCACTCCCTAATCAAATTTGCAGCATAAAAATAACACATGTTGCAATTACAGCATATCAACCTATTTTCATTTCAATGCTAAATAAGTCTATAACGCATAGGTGGCTGTGAAAAATAAAAGCCATGACAATTGTTTTTATTAATCACAGCTGTCAGAAAACGGCTAAAATAGTTTTGGGTAGTTAAGGTTTTCAAAATGAGTAGAGGAAAGGTTATTAGTGAGAAAATTCGGTTACTGATAATTAAACTTTTTAATTCTGGGAAATCAAACTCAGAAATTGCAACTTTGTTAGACTTATCGCGGTACAGTGTGAGAAATATTGTTAGAAGATATAACGTAACTGGTTCAAATAATATTAAGCCACGATAGGTGAGAAAAGTAATATCACAAATGCCGACCGAAGAGCATTAAGAAGAATAATCGTGAAAAACAGGCGTGCCAATTATTTACAATTAAGTGGTCTGTGGAGTGACGCTGTTGGAAGGAGAATTTCGAGGTCCACAACTCATAGAGAGTCCCACAAACTGGGATTTAGCACTTGCAAGGTATGTTTTCTTATAAAAAAGTGAAGTAAAAACAATAAAGTTGCACAACATGTTTATAGGCCAAAGAAAATTCACTATTAACCCCGCTGCAAAAGAAAAATCAGCTTAGATGGGCACATAGACAATGGACACATCAACAATGGTGTGCAATACAATGGAGTGATGAGGCCCGATTCGAAGTTTGTGTTGGTGACAGTCGCAGTAGAGTTATTCACAAAAACATGAAGCATTCCATGTTGACTGTCTGAAGAGAAAAGTGAAATTTCCAGCATCCATGATGGTCTGGGGCAGCATGTCATCAAAAGGAGTAGGAAAACTTCATTTTATTGATGGAAATGTGGATACAAACAAATATTTGGCAATTTTAGACGAATCGCTTTACCAGTGATGGAAGAATGTTTGACATCCGGCCAAGATTTTGTGTTTCAGCAAGATGGTGCAGCGTGCCATAGCTCAAAAAAGGCTATAAAATGGATGGAAGAAAATAATGTACCACTTTTACACCAAATGTTTGCCAAAACTTGGTTAACACTATGCCCCAAAGAATTTCAGCCGCAATAAAAAATAAAGGTGATGTTACCCAATGGTAATCTTTCAATTGTTGCTTTGTTAACTTCGCGCATTTATTCGCACATTGTTTATTTGTTCAGATGTTCTATTAGTTATAGCTCTAAGTGATTTCAAATACGTATTTTTTACGACTAGACTAAAATGTTTTTGAGAAAATAAATTGTTTTAGAAGTAAATATTTTCATGTTTAGTTTATAAAGGCATATTTTGGTACAAATCTTGAAGTGGGCCAACTGAAGTTGGAAGGAGCTCGTATGTTCGCTCTAAGTCGTGACCAAAAATAAAACATAATACACAGGGCCGGGTTTCAAGGGGGGTGTGCTAAAAAGATATGAAGTTTAAAGATACATTTTTTTCAATATCTTCAAAACCGTCACCTTGAATGAACCAAAATTTGGTATGTGGATTTACCTAAGTATTGTACACATTCAAAAGACTACTTGAAATTAACGTGTTCTAGTGGCGGTGATACAGGAGACTAGTGGCTTTATTTTTCCAAATAAAAATTGTACGCCATTGTTTTTATTTTCGAAACGCGCAATTTTTCGAATATTACCTTCAATTTGCTACAAATAATTACTCCTGTGTTTTTTCCTAGAATGCACTGTCAAAATAAAATAGGAGGCTTTGATATCAACTTGACATTTCTTGGGAGATAGTTTGTTATCGTTACTACAACCATTTTTTTTTAGTAAAAGTCGAGTTATCTATTTTTTTTTTAATTTTTACAAAAACAATGCGCTCTAGAGAAAAACATAAGAGAAATTATTTGTAGCAAATTGAAGGTAAAATTCATATAACTGCGAGCTTAAAAAACCAGTGCCGTACTATTTTTGTTTGGAAAAATAATGCCAATAATCCTCAGTTTCTCCGCCATTAGTGCACGTTGATTTTAAGTAAAGACTTAAGCAAATCTCAGGTTAACCCTAGAATACTAACGTACGTAAATTTTACGTACGGTTTTAATCTGATGGCTACTGAAAAAATACTAAACGTGGCAACTCTTTGCCGCGTCTGCTATGCTATCCCCACTTCTTGGTCATTAAAACAGATGCATAACCGTTTTGATTTTAGTTTGGGTTAGGCTTCGGTGGTGGTGTGTCTTACACTCTGTACGTAAAATTTATGTGTGCTTAGTATCCGCGTAAAAAATGTTGTACGTAAGTTTGACGTGTTTTTATTATGAACGTATAAATATGATGTCGGGACAATCAAACTACGATCTAAAGCGTCATCTTACTCAAAAAAAATTGGAGGATATTATAAATAATGAATTCAGTTATGTTAGTGGAGAAGAAGATGACCTAGAGGAGTTAGAAGAGCCATTTGACAGTGATGATAGCATTGAAGATAGAGACTATGATCCCGCACAAGACGAAGAAAATGTCTTCGCACAACTAGCTAACACCTGGACAACTACACCAGAAGGAACTCAAAAAGAAGCAAGAAATACGTGCTCTCGTAAAAGGATTAAAATTACGCAGCCACTATCATCACAAGCAACATCTACTGAGAGCCCTAGTGAACCACAAATACCTGTAATAATATTAGATAAACCTTCTTTAGTAGGTAAACACGGTTACAAATGGAGTACTTTACCTATAAATGATGGAGGTTGTAAAATCGCTTCAAGAAATATTGTTTATATCCGACCAGGTCCAACAAATTCAGCCAAATATGCCATAGAGCCTATAGATACTTTCAATTTATTTTTCTCTGATGAGATTCTGGACGAAGTTTTGCTACGTACAAATGAAAAAATTGCAGAGCTAGGAGTAAGATACAAGACGAAAAATGCTACTGTTTCAGATACGACATTGCCTGAACTGAAAGCGCTGTTGGGTTTGATATTTTTATCTTCAGCTTTAAAAAATAATCACCTCTCAGCTGATGTTTTGTTTGACGGCACTTATTGTGGCGATAGATATAAAGCAACCATGAGCAAAGAAAGGTTTAACTTTCTGATAAATACTTTACGATTTGACAACTTCGTGACCAGAGAAGAACGTAAAAAAAGAAAGTAGTTTTGCTCCAATATCTAAAATTTGGAACTTATTCATTGAAAACTGTGCCAAAAATTACAAAGCTAGTTCATATGTCACCATCGACGAGCAGCTCCTAGGATTTCGTGGCAGGTGTCCATTTCGCATGTATATGCCTAACAAACCTAGTAAATACGGCATGAAAATACTTATCGTTTGCGATGTGGCTACGAAATATGTACTAAATGTACTAAATGCGACCCCGTATCTTGGCAAATCTACTAGAACCAACGGCATTCCCTTAGCAGAACATTTTGTTACAAGTCTGACGAAACATTTACATGGAAGTAGACGTAATGTGACCATGGACAACTGGTTTTCCAGCATCCCTCTTGCGAATAAATTATTAGCTCCGCCCTACAATTTGACAATGGTAGGAATACTCCGAAAGAATAAAGGAGAAATACCTCCTGAATTACTGGATAACAAAGCTTGGCAGTGCGATTCAAGTATGTTTGTGTACGATGAAAACATGACTTTATTATCTTATAAACCTAAGCAAAACAAGACAGTTCTTCTCCTTTCAACGATGCACTTTTCTGGGAACATCAATCAAGAAACAACAAAGCCCGAAATAATCCATACATATAATTCAACTAAGGGGTGTAACGGTTTCACCGTCCGATCGTATTTATTAAATCACTTCTCGATTATCATTTCATTAATCCCATCTCTAGCTTTTTTGCTTGGAAAATTTTCCGCTTGGAGCGCTTGATGCGGAGTTCCTGATCTGCGATCTTCCTCGCGCTTCCTTTTCACCTGAGCCGCCGATCGAACAACGGCTAGAAATTTCTTCTCAGTAGCACCAGGTTATATAGCACCATGTGCTAGATTTCTAGAATGTGTGTCCGTATAGGACAAAAATGGTGAGTTTTATAATACTATACAGTTTTATTTCTGGATCAGCCTGTAGTTTATAGATAATCGATATGTAAGTGATTTATTTCTTGTACGATTTTAAAATATCCATCGAACGTCATTTTCGACTACTTCGATCATTCGCCATAACTTTAATCAAATCGAGGTGGAAATCGATCCACATCGATTTTACCTCTGTGCGCGTATATAAATTCATAGTTCAGTGAAATTATAAGTACGTTGATTATGAATATTCGATGATTGTGTTTTTATATCAGAAGCATGTGGAGAAATTTTTGATGACCACCATCTTGTTTTACGCTTTTTTTTGCTATTTCATGATTTTATTTTATGAAAGGCATTTCCAATTTTCGGTTTGATTTCATCAAACTATATAATGTAATTCTAACCTAGAAAATCGTTGGTTCTCTTTTGAGGCAGACTGAGATTGGAAATGCCTTGGCCATTAGGGCACTTTGCTAATGCACACGGTTCTTTTTCAGATTGGGGCCACCCCCTTTCTCTTTCCCTTTCACTTTGCCTAGCCTTGGCCAATATTTTCACCCATGCATGTACCTTGGCAGCGCCATCGCCTTTAACTTCGCCTACAACTGGTTGTGAAGCCACTATATGGAGGTCACCCCTCATAACTGGGACCTCCCCTTCAAGCCCCTGGCCATCCTGGCTTCAGTCGAGTAAAAATGGACCAGCGAAAGATAAGTTGATAGCGTTATAGCAGCGCCAAAGATGTAAAACTTATTTTGTTATTTTTGTAAAATTGTAATGTAATGAAAATGCCTTTTATTTGTTAAATAAAATCTGTTAAATTTTTGTGTTCTGTTTGTTCTTCTATCCTCTAGCCATGCCATGGTCGACATATAGCTACACGCCTGTAGATGTTTTCATGCCACTGACTGAGCTACCGGAAGCTAATTGTAACCCCCTTTCTGTGATTGTGCAGAAAAGTTGGAATCTTCATTGCATTCCATCTTTTCTGGACTTTTTGCGGAAAGGAAGCGTTACAGGGGGCTGTAGGTACATTTGATCAAATGTCTCAGAACATTAATTTGCTGTAATAGGAAGACCAGAAGGTGGCCGCTATGCATTATTTACAATATGCTGAATATTGCAGGAGTAAACGCTTTTGTAATATACCACCACAATGCAAGTAAAAACAGACAGGAGCCATTATCCAGGCTAAATTTTATGCTGAAACTTCATGAACAATTAACAAAGCCGTGGCAACAAATAAGGCTCCAAACAGTACCAACTTTATCAAGAGGTCTAAAAGAGAGTCTTTCTACGCTCTTACATTTGCCACGTGTTGCAGAAGACCGCCGAGGGCCCCAAGGGAAAGGAAAACGGACTTACTGCAGCTTGTGCCCTACAGCAAAGAAACGAATGACAACTACCAACTGTTATAAGTGCGAGCGTGCCTTGTGTGGCGAGCATCAAATAAAAATATGTATGGAATGTGGACAGTGAAAGAAGGCTCCAGGTTATAGCTATGTTATTGTTCCTATTTTAGTTTTTTATATGTACTAGTTTGTTTTGTCCATATTACGACATTCTGTTCTGTTCTAAAAGTATCTATTTTATGATGTTTTTGTTTATGTTAATATTCCAAGGTTTTTTTTTCATTAGTTTCGAACCCAAATAAAATTTTTTGGAACTAGACCCATTTTGTTTCAATTTGTATTGAAATAAACAGAAAATAGTAGACCTAAATGAATCAGTACGTAAATTTTACGTGTGGTTAGTGTTTACGTATGTTGAAGAAACGTTAGTATTCTAGGGTTAATGCACATACCAAATTTTAGTTCATTCCAGTTGACAGTTTTGAACATATTAAAAAAATGATATCGTGGAAAAAAATCGAAAATTGAGTATTCAACATAATAGAATTTGTGAAAAATGGTGTCACTCGAATTTTTTAAATTGGAAATACGCCACTTGGCGGCCAGATTAAGATTAAAATAATTTTCAGCAATTTTTCTTGACTACTTTTATTATGAATTTTTTTAAGGGATGGTTCTAGATTAAGCCTTTGCTTTACATCAGTATTATACATATAGTTTAGCTTGACCAATGCTATGATATCGCGGCATGAACTAATGTACTCGAAGCTGAGTTCAACTCATTTGCATTCGGTTATATGCCTGGCGAAACTGTCACTGACCTAAAATCTAGCCTGCAATCAACAGCTGATTTACCCACACGTCAGCCGTCCCCAACAGCGCTGCCGAAGGATAAACCACCTGGTTTGCGTGACAACTGCTTAGTGTTTCAACGAGGTCGCCACGAAACAGAGGGTTGTTGCATTGTAAAGTCACCACCAGAAGCTATAATAGCAGGCGATTGTTGGAATTAAGGTGGAGAAATGTAGAACAAAGGATACACTTTTCATTAGTCCATGAGGCGGGTTTTACGGAAAAAGTTCTGACGCTGTGGTTTGACTGGAACACAATATCTTAAAAATCAGCCCTGTACAATTATAGAACAACATTGTGTAAAGTATATGGTACGATGGATGTCGTTTAAGATTTGCATATAGAAACATAGTAGGCCGCGCGGATCGAACGTCAGTACTGAAACTTAACCTCGCTGTTTAGCAAACTTAAATTCAAAGTTTCACAACAATACGTGCAGTGTTCTCACTACAGTGAATTTTTAAGTGTCACCGAGTCATTAGAAAAATGGAACTCAACCGAGAACATTTTCGCGCCATAATTTATTACAACTTTCAGAGACAATTATCGCAACAAGAATGCCTTGCTGAGTTACTGTCTGTTTCCGGCAACGAAGCGCCACATCAGTCGACAATTTCCCCTTTGGTATGCAGAGTTCAAACGTGGACGGGTGAGTCTTAGCGACGATCAGAGGGTGGGTGCACCAAAAACGGCAGTCACCCAGGAAAACGTCGATGCTGTGCGCAAACTCATCATTGAAGATAGACATGTGACATATCGCGAGATTGAGGCGTCCTTGAAGATCTCAAAGACCTCAATTCAAAAAATTTTACGTGAAGAATTAGGAGTAAGAAAATTAGTTTCTCGTTGGATACCCCACCTGTTGATGAATCGTGGATTTACTGTCATGAACCAGAAAATAAACCACAGTCGGATGTTTGGGTGTACCAAGGTGAAGAAAAGCCAAAAAAAGTCATCCGTTCTCGAAGTGTTTCGAAAAAGATGGTTGCGACATTTGTGTCAAAAGCAGGTCATATTGCAACAATTCCTCTTGATGAGCAAAGAACTGTTACTGCGGATTGGTACTCCACTATTTGTTTGCCAGAAGTCATCACCGAGCTTCGAAAAATCAACCCCGAGAGAAGAATCATCCTCCACCAAGACAATGCAAGCTCGCACACAGCCCAAAAAACAAGGCAATATTTAACGGAAGAAAACGTGGAATTATTGGACCATCCTCCATATAGTCCCGATCTAAGTCCTAACGATTTCTTTAATTTCCCGAAAATTGAAAACAGACTGCGTGGTCAAAGGTTCCAGTCACCAGAAGAAGCAGTGACGCATTCAAAAATGCCGTTTTGGATCTGCCGGCAAACGAGTGGAGTAACTGCTTCGAAAATTGGTTTGAGCGCATGCAGATGTGTATTAATCTTCGTGGAGAGTACTTCGAAAAACAATAAAGTCATTTAAAACTACCTACCGTGTTGTTTTATTTCCATATGCAGAACTTAAAAGACATCCCTCGTATATTATCCACTTAGGGTACAATCACTCATATCAGACTAGATACAACAATCTTCTGGCTATACAAAATCAGATGACATCACATTTTAAGCAGTCACCATATTGTGTTTGTGTGATCTTATTTAATAAGCTATCTACTACTAAACTACCTACTAAGGTGAATACCTTAGGAAAATAGAATATTATAATTTATGCAAGGACAGTGTGAAATTATTTTTGGTTAGCAGCTGTTTTTATTCAATAAATGAATATTTGGATGCCAAATTTTAGGTGCTTTAGCAATGGTTGGTGTCTTATAAGTATACATTTTAACTGATGTTTGCCTTTTTAAAATGTTTTTCCTTGTATTTATATATGACTTACCATATACACTATTGTGTCGTTTGGTTAAATAAAGTAAATACATACATACAATTTCATGCAGATTTTTTGACTGTATGCCAAACTATAAATTTTCAAGCGCTAAATTTCTTGATCTCATGGCTAGGCGATAATAGCGTGCTTCTTATTTTATACCCCCAAGAGTACATCTGCAACAGCTGAAAGAAGCTTTTCCAAATTAAGTGATTAAATTATCATAGGACTTCTTCAGCCAACTGTGATGCTTTCAGGGGTAGAAAATCTGGAAACACTAAAATCTTTTTCAGATATGATGATCTAATAGAGAAGCTTCCAAAAAAATAGTATCAAGAAAATAAACTGTAATTCACACACATTCACATTGTGCCTATTTTGAAATCCATCCACAAAAATTGAAAAGCCTTAACGCATAAATGTTGCTGAGTATGATTTTTAATCTTACCGAAGAATCAGAAATTTTGAGCTCCATGATAATGTTTTTGTTTGCTTGAAGCAATCAGAAAAGATGGAACAAATTTACGGAAGTTTCCAAAAATTGTAAGTTTTCATAGAGCGATAAAATTGTTCAGAAGTTTGTATGACTGAGCTTATAAAGCCATGTACAGATATGTAACAACACCGGAAACCGCATCACTCGACGAACCCCAGCGCGCGCATTTTGACGAACAACATTGCAACGAACATCACCACATACCGAACGAAGTCGTGCAACCACATCGCGCAACAAAATGACGATCCAATTTTGCTGTTTGTCGTTCAGTGACAGACGAATACTAGTGAAAATGGATATAGAAGTAGCAGCAGCTGCCTATATTTATATTCAATACGCTACGAATTATCCAAAAACAAGCGACGACGACGTCCGAGACGCTGGTGGCAAACGCAGTTATACAGGGTGACTTTGAAGTTGAGTCATTAATTTTCAGATAATGATTGTAGAAGGAAGATACACCAAAATATGTGTGTAAAAATGAAAAAACATAAAAAAAATGTTACCTTGCACGAGGGGTTGGTTGCACTCGATTGGGAAACCGATTCGCACAAATCCGTGATGCCGCGGCAGCATTTTGTAAAGACTCCCCGTAAATAAGAATCATGTCCACAAGTTCAGCATTTTCGTAAACATGTGCCATTTTTTATTTCGTTTGAGCCACGCAACAAACACCACTATTCACTCACGCGTTACCGACTGACGAAAAACATCGTGATAAACGTTTCAAATTCTTTCGCTTTTTTGTTTCCGATGCGATGAACCGATAACGCGGATTATATCCGTTGTTGCCAAACGCGAGCACATAATATTATTATTGACACAGGGCGGTACTCAAACTTCTAAAGGGCTATAACTTTGTTACTTTAATTTTACCAGAAAAATGTTAAAGGAAAAAACATTTCTTTTGATCAGATCTACTCACTGTTAAAATAAATGACTCAACTTCGAAGTCACCCTGTATACCAATAGATCAGCACACGGTTGCGACAATTTGATAGCGGAATTGAAATTTCAACAACTCAGTGGACAGTACAACAAGAATGTCTCCGACAGACTTTGATTATGTTCTCACGTTAATTGGACCAACGAAGACAAGATACAAAATGGAGAGCTACCGTCTCAGTGCAAGAAAGACTTGCAGTAACGGTGCGATTTTCAGCGACCGGTGATTTATACAGTACTCTGCAATACGTGTTTCGAATTTCAAAGCAATCGATCAGCTACATCATTCCAGAAGATGGTGGGGCATCGATGGAAGTTTTAAATGAAAATATACAAGTAAGAAAAATAATTATTTTACATTACAAAATAACACACTGGTGCTCGCCGCAAAATTTCAGCCTTATCAGTTGGACATTCCGGTTTTTATACTGCTTTTTTTTAATTCACTAACGCTCTAAAAATGAACATTTCAGCCGCAGTAAAGAATCAACGTTGGCGTATTTTGGTTCTTGACATCCTTTAGAGAGGTAACATGAACGCGCAGCGTTATATCCACGAAGTTCTAGAACCCCATCTTTTACCCTATTTTGACACCCTGGCAGATCCAACTTTCCAACAAGATAATGCCCGACCACATGTTGCAAGAGTCACAATAGACTTCTTTCAACATAATGATGTCACATTGTTACCATGGCCACCAAGATCTCCCGACTTATCCCCAATTGAGCACATGTGGGATATGATGGGTAGGAGATTGCTCAATTTGCAACGTCCTCCTCAGACCCTAGAAGCACTTCGAGAGGAGTTGGTGGTTGCCTGGAATGAGATACCACAGGAGGACATTGACCACCTGATCAGAAGCATGCCTAGGCGCGTTGGAGAATGCGTAGCACATCAGGGTGCATCCACACATTAT